GAGAGAGAGAGAGAGAGAGAGAGAGAGAGAGTTTGTGTGCATGTATCAGAATAAGAAGTGAGAACCCAAATTGGCAGGCCTGGAACCCCCAAGGAACAACAGCCTGATCATCTGGGTTTGAACTCCAGGTTAGTCATTTAATATCCACTAAACTGGGATGGGTTACTTCTCTCTGAGCCTCAGTTTGCTCACCTGTAAAATAGGCACAATACTATTAGCTGCTTCAAAACTTGCTTCAACTTTTAAAGGAGTCCATGTAAAGTGCTTAGAACAATGTCTAACACTTAAGGAGCACTCACTAAAAATTAGCTAGCTGCCTGCGTCCCTCCCATCAGTTTTCATTGTATGGATGCATGAACTGTCAACTCTGTCAACTGGTGCTCAGAAAAATATAGAGATGCTCGACTACGCACAATCGAGAACTCCTGCTCCCCTTCCCTGTCTCTAGACCATTGCTTCTGGAGGTGAGGTCCTGGACAGTATCATCAGCATCCCCTGGGAACTTGTTATCAATGCCCATTCTTGGTCCCCCTCACCCCCGCCCCCCAACCTTCTGAATCTCCAGGAGAGATTGGTGCATGCTCAAGTTTGGGAATCATTGCTCTATCTCTTCCAGGGAGGGATGCTAACAGGGGAGAGTCACAGTATCCCCTGCAGGGTGGAGGCCCTTTAAGGCCTTCCTTATAAGTGCCATCTCAACTATATCCAAACTAGTAAAGGTGTCCCCGGAAATGACCTCACCAGCAGTCTCATGTGATAAATGGGCCATTATTCCCTCAGCTTTCACTTTACTGTGGCTTTTCTTTTCCCACCTGTGGCCAGACCCAGGTATTTATCCCTTCTCCCTGGTACAGGCTCCCAGTTTTCACTCCATCCTGTCTCCTCACAGTGAGAGGGGTGTCAGCCAGGTCGTTGAAAAATATCTGCCAAGGATTCCCAACACAAAGAGTTTCCTGGACTCTGGGGAAGGTTCTAGTTTTACCAGCCCTGCCCATCCGGTGTTCCTAGGACTCGGGCACTTTTTGGGGCCCAGAATCTTGGTTTTCACCATGACATTTACAGAGCAGCTAGCCTGCCCTTTGGAAAGCGCCCAGGGCTTGGCGGACAGTGATGGGGTGGCTGGTCTCCAGCAGTTGGCAAACCGCGTGGCACATTAAATGTCACTGCAGGCTTTGTTTGGTTTTAAATTGAAAAATTGCTAGAGTTATGAAAGCTTATCATTCTTGCCTAGAGGAACAAACATCCCACTCTACCCCGGAAATGAGCAGCCTCCCTCCATCTCAACTCATCCCCCTGCGCCACTCATACACTAACGGGCACCCAACAGCCATGGAGCCCATGACTAAGAGCGTGTTTCCGGAACGTCTCTTGCTGCTGGGAAAGAATGCGGCACCATTACTAATTCAAAGCAGGTCTGACCTACCTACGCACAGACCCCTATGCACATTTTCCCAGGATCCTCTACCCTTCCTTTTTCTTCTCTTCTTAAAAGGAACATTCATGCTTTTTTTTTTTTGTATACAAACATCCATCACCTGCAGAATCCTAGTCTGAGTCTTACAACTAGAAGGACACTCAAGGGCACTGGGTATACAAACATCCATCACCTGAGTCTTACAACTAGAAGGACACTCAAGGGCACTGGGTCTAGACTCTGCTTTCGAAGTGATAAGTTACTGTTTCCTATACAGATGATGAGGTCCAGAGAGTAAGCAACCTGCCCAAAGTCCAGAGAGTAAGTGTAGGGCTCGGACCCTGTCTCTTTGCTTCTCTTCCCCTGATCACCAGAGAGCAGACCCCAGAACTTGAGGACAGCTCCTCATTCCCTCGTTCCTTTCCAGCCCAGCCTGGGACCAAATTTAGTGTCATCAATATAGTTAATCCCAATGTGTCATCATTTTTGTTGTTAGTCAGCCAACTCCCTTCTGCTAGTGCATTTCAACCCTGGAGTGAGGACGCCCCACTCTCTATGCAAGTGTGAGCATGCGAGCACCTGTGGGGTGATCTGGGAGGACCCAGCCCTCCTTTTCCATTCGCTAGCATTTAGGTCAAAAGTAGGCAGGGTCTTGGATGGTTCATGATCTGAGTCTTATCCAACAGGCTTGACTGCCAAGAAGCCCAGGCCCACAATGGCTGACCTCCTGGGATGAGAGAACTTGAATTCTAAAAGTGGCTGAGACCTTGATTGTACCCCATTTGTCCCTACTTAGGCTTTTTGTGTTGTTTTGTTTTGTTTGTTTTAATCCTGGGAAGAGGGAAAAAAACAGGTCAAACAAAAAGTCCTCTGGTTAGCATGTAGAACCAGCCATGACCCTAATAGGTCTGTCTTCTCCAACCTTTCCAACTCTGGACCTCTCCACCTCAGCTTCCCACTGTTAGACCTGCTTGGTACTAACTAGGATGCTGTGTGGGCTGGGGTGCAGGGCCCTGACCTGGCCATACAAGCTTGCCTGTGCCTCAGGCGAGAGACCTGACCCTTCTGATTCCTGGTTGCCTCTGTGAAATACACACTAGGGCTCTTTAGGAATTAATTGTCAACAGATGTGAAAAATGCTGTGGTACCCACAAATACAAGCTCCTTTTTTTCATTCCTGGATAACATTAGTGCATTTTTCCCCCAGTCAAAAGCATTTGCATTATAATGGGGGGAGGCAGGTTCTATAAGAATAATTTTTAAAAGATGAATCTCTAACAGTGAATTTGGGGCCTCAGAAATAAGCCCAAGAAAAGACTAGGCAATGTCATCACAGTAGGCAAGGGGCACTTGATGACAACACAGGTTTGAGAGGCTCAAGGGACAAAGAGGTGGAGGACTAAGTAAACAAAGTCACAGGAGAACTAGATGAGATTTTAATAACTCACTCTGTCTTAGCTCTTGTGTAGAAAGGGCCCTGGTTGTTATGTACGCAGCAATTCTGTGGTTGCATTTATTGAACACCTACTGTGTGCTCAGTCCCCAAACCATTGCCAATGTTGTCATTTTCCCTTTGTCTTCCTCCCCAAAACCTACCTCACTCCTTTGTCTCCTTCAATCAATTCTATTCTCCCTTAGTCCTTCCAGCTATACCCCACCACCAGACCTCAGCTGCCCATGGCTGCTTTGTCTGCAAATGTCATAAGAAAGGGGTTGTGACAGGGCTTGAAGAACAACCAAGCTAGCATGAGGCCCCTCCCCATCACCACCACCTGAGAGAGATGGGCAGAGACAGATAAGAGTTAATTTCACATGCTCTTCACCTTCCCTCCAAAGGCATTTCCAGAGAACTTCTCTGGTGACAAAAGAATGAGTCAGAAAGATTCATAACTTTCCTTACAAATCTCCTGAGTTAAGGAGAATATGTCCAGGAAGCCACTTCTCATTTTAACCTAAACCTCCATGGCAGGCAAGTTTTATGGAGAGACCAGGCTATCTTCTATTCTAGTCTTCCCCGATGCCCTTCTTCTCTTCAGCCACGGGCATGGTTCTCTCTTTAAAATAGCACAGGGAGGAACTTATTTTAGCACCAGGAAAACTCAAGTCCATAAAATGTGGCTTCTGGCTTTTAAAATCGATGCCAGTCATGTCAGAAGAACTCCCACAGGCATGTGGAGCAGTTTTTAAAATGTGTGCTTTGGCCATGGACCTCTGTGCCAGCCCTTGCCACTCTGTGCCTCTGACATTGAAGTCAATGGCACCAACCAGCCCCCATCATACAGCTCCGAGACTCGTCAGGAGGCACCTGTGTACAGCCCACGGAACATCAGAGCACTAATGCGCCCTTAGCAATGACTGATTACAATCTCCTTATTGGGGACCATCTGGCTAATCTGGCCCACCTTTGTGAATGTGCAGGTCACACCCTACAATAGGAAAATGTCCTTCACTGAGAAAGGTGCTGGACTATGTGTGCAGTCAAGTTCAAGCTTCTCTTCGTGGCCTTTAAGGCTGTCCATCTTGCCTGACCTTTTGGCACTTCCTGCCTCACACCCTGTGCTCCAACGATACTAAACCACTCATTGGTCCCCACAATGCCTCAGAGCCTTTGTACGGGCTGCCCTGATTGGAATGTCCTGTTTCCCCTTCCATCTACCAGTATGTATACCTGGGCAACTTCTACCTACTGGTTGAGATTCAGCTCAACTATCACTGCCATTAGAAACTTAAATATGGTCATAATTATGAATGTGGTGGCCTCCAAAACCAAGCAGCCCTAGGGTCAAATCTCTGTTCATTTCCAAGTCACATTACCACCCTAAACCTCAGCTTCCTCATCTATAATTTGGGAGTAATACCACCAGACTTTCAGTTGTCAGAGGAAGATGTAAAGTGCTCAATTGAGTAGCTGGTATATAGTGAGCACTGAAATTCAGTAGCCATGCTCATTGTTTCCTGATCTCTTTGCTCTGCCTTCCCATCCTAGACTGGGATGGTGCCTCTGTCACTATCCTTTTAATCAACGCTATTGAAGAGTAATTCACATACAACACATGTAAATTTTCAATGCATTGTTTGACAAATGTAGACACCTATACACACCTATGCATATGGAACACTCTGTTACTCCTAAAGATTTCCTTGGGCCAACTTCCCAATTAATCCTCTAGCCCCTACCCCTGGGCTCAGGCAACCATGGATCCCTTTCTATTGCAAGGTATTTTAATGCCTTTCATAGAGCTTCATCTAAATGGAATCATATAGTATATACTCCTTTGTGCTTCATTCACTCAACATAATGGGTTGAGATCCTTTGCGTGCAGCAGTAGTTGGTTCCTTATTGCTAAGCTTCTATCCTTGCATTATAATTTCTATCTGATTCCTCCACTAGACAGTGAGGCCCTCAAAGATTCAATCTTTTTTTTCCCTTTGGTTTCCAAATCAGCACTCAGTAAATGTTAGAGTGGGGGGGTAGTGAGGGAGTTGCAAAAAGAATCAGCTAAGCTCTTGGCTGCAACCTTGCATCTAGTTCACCCCTGGAGGCAGTATTCACATCCCCAGAAGAACCCCGTGTGCAAACACTTACAGCAGCCAGTCCACAGCCACCAGCAGGCTGATGTCTTCCGTTGGCAGGCCCACGGCTGTCAGAATGAGGAGCATGGTGACCAGCCCAGCGCTGGGGATACTGGCTGCGCCGACACTTGCCAGTGTGGCCGTGAGGCTGTGAGAACAGAAAAGGTCAGGTCACGGGAGGAGCAAATGGCCTTGGCAAAACCATCTCTGGCAATTTTAAGCTTTCGTGTTCCTTGCAATCATAAATTCCCTTTTCTTCCCAAGAAATAGCAAAATCTAGAGTTCCAAGACCCAGGAATTGGGGTCTATTTGGATTCTTCTTAGCTGCAATGGAAACTTATAAATTCATGGGTGGGAGCCTTATCCCCATCATGATATTCAAGTAGCCTAGTCTATCACAAGCTAAAATAAAATAAGCGTGGCTCTAAAATCAGGTAAGGCAATATTAAAGAAGAAAAACAAGTCACTTTAATGCTCCCACAGGAAGACCACTGCATTCTGCTTACGCCTTTATGTCTCTGTGAGCACCAGAGACTTCTGGACTACGTGGCAAGAATCTGAGAAGACCATTGCCAATGTTAACATGAGAACTCAGAATAGCAAATATCCAGACCCAGTGGACATCGGGGGAACAAATCAACAGATTCCAAATGACATTAGGCTTCAGATGCCTGGACAGTTCATCATGGACTGGAAAATCCATTATTCAGACAGAGGGTGCCAAGAAATGATAATGAAATAACGGAAGGTTTCTTTTTGAGGCATCTCGTCATTTGCTTTCCAAGCAATGCCAAGGGCACACCCAGCACCATTTTGAAGTTATCTCTGGAAGAGGGGTTAATCTAGGCTTCATGCTCCCTGTGGAGACACCAGGGGCCTCTGCGGTCCAGCAAAGGGCAGTGACTTTGTCTCCTCCTTCCTAGATGCCATTTATAAAAGCTGTCATTTCTAAGTGGAAGGATGCTTCTGAAAATACAGATTCCCAACTTGCTTTTGTGGGTGCTGGAAAGAAAGGGGGGCTGATTTCTTTGCAGTAATAACATTCTAGAGTTTCCAGAGGAGCTCCACCAGGCTCCTAAACTGGGGTAACCAAGTCTAGACCGTGAGTGTAACAAAGCACAGAATCCTGGGGTCTTCCACAGTATGGAGTTTCCTCAAAAAACTGGAAATGGAACTCCCATTTGACCCTGTGATCCCACTTCTAGGAATATATCCCAAGAAACCAGAAACACCAATCAGAAAGGATATATGCACCCCTATGTTCATAGCAGCACAATTCACCATAGCTAAGATCTGGAAACAGCCTAAGTGCCCATCAGTAGATGAATGGATTAGAAAACTGTGGTACATCTACACAATGGAATACTATGCTGCTGTAAAAAAGAAGGAACTCTTACAATTTGCAACGGCATGGATGGAGCTGGAGAGCATTATGCTAAGTGAAATAAGCCAGTCAATGAAGGAAAAATACCACATGATCTCACTCATTCATGGATAATAAAGACCATTACAAACTTTTGAACAATAATAGATACAGAGGCAGAGCTGCCTCAAACTGATTGTCAAACTGCAGTGGGAAGGCCAGAGAGGGTTGGGGGGCAGAAGGGAGGGGAGTAAGAGATCAACCGAAGGACTTGTATGCATGCATATAAACATAACCAATGGACGAGCTGCCTCAAACTGACTGTCAAACTGCAGCAGGAAGACCAGGGAGGGGTGGGGGGCAGGAGGGAGGGGGGTAAAAGATCAACCGAAGGACTTGTATGCATGCATATAAGCATAACCAATGGACATAAGACACTGCGGGGTAGGGGGGGGCCAGAGGATTGTCAAGGGCGGGGAAGAAAAAAAAAGGACACATATGTAATACCCTTTGTAATACTTTAAGCAATAAAAAAAAAAAAAGAATCCTGGGGTCTTCCAGTTGGGAGGGACCTGAATTTATCTAATCTCACATATGAGGAAAGGAAAGCCCTGGGACATTTTGTGGTAAGCCTTATCCTTCCATATTGTCCTCCTTCCACACTTAGGCCTGTTACAGTAAAGACACCTTCCCTTGGAGGGATCTACAGAACTCATCTGTGCTCTTCCCTGCCCCACCAATACGGTGTTGGTGTTAGGGTTTAGGGAACTCCATTTTCCCTGGACCCATCTGGGTGACAGGAAGTAGCAATGTGCTGTGATCATCATTGAAGGTTCTGGAGTTGAACGACCTGGGTTCAAATCCCAGCTCTGCCACTTATTCACCACATGACTTTAGGCAACTGAAACTCTTTGTGTTTTGATTTCCTTATTTGAGAAAAGGAGATAATCATGGGGTCTCACGCACGGGGTCCTCAGGAGCTAATAAATAAAAAGCACTTAGAAGATACTAAGCACATTATAACCCCCCAATAAATGTCCAATATTATTCTTATTGGGAAATCTCCACAGGGTGAGGCTGCTTTGCAATGAAAACTTCCCTTAAACCCCAAGAGCTGGAAGGTGGGAATTCTCAGCCACTTCCCTGACCAGGGAAGGGGAACTCCCCAAGTTCCAACCATCTTGGCCTCAGCCGTTTGCTTTACAACCCCAGCTGCTTCTGTTATGAGTCACTCTTACACATGCCTGGGCACTATGGCCACATTGTCTGGTTACCGCTTGGTTGTGTGTGACAAATTCTACAAAGAGAACACTTCCTGGCAGCTGGTTCCCCCTCAGTTCCTCCACCCCAATCATGTCCTCATGGGCTGAGTGTCCGTGCAATTCTAAGTCCTGCAGAAGCTCCCTGAGCAGTGAGCTCTCTTCCATTCCTTTGTCCCTTTTCCTGTCCTTCCTCTCCCTGGCTCACATCTCTAGGGCTGGTTCTTGGATGCTGTGCAAGGTACTTACACACATTAGCAGAACCTCAAGATAGCTCTGCAAGGTTCATATGGTAGTACTTGCTCTCCAGCAGGAGATCATGGATCAATGGGTGGAGAAACATAGGGTCCCACAGCTCAAACATGGTCTGCTGGGATTTGAACACTCGCCTGCCTCATTCCAATGCCATGCTATACCTGCTGTCCCTTGATTCTCCCCACATTAAAAACTCTGAGTTAATGAATCCCAACCACTTGGCCGCTGGTCCATTCTCCCATCTCTATGTTCTCATTTAATGGTGTGAACTTGATGGGCGGTGTGGTTGTCTTCAAGGCCAGGAACACAGGGACCAGAAATCATTTTTGCTTGGCTCCAAAAGAAGGGGCTTCACTAAGGCACCCTTTTCATCTTTGAGTTTTAAAACAAGGGAGGCTGGCAGTCTCACATGCAGTTAGGACATGATTTAAAAGGCCTGATACTCTGACCTGAAGCATGTCTTCCCTCACTATGTTGCTGTCATATTTTCTTTCATGTTCTAGGAGTATTATATTTCATTTAGTATCAATAACAGTAATAATACCAGTAGCTAACATTTATTGACAGGTGACTATGTACAAGGCACAATGCTCTCAACCTCCCTAGACTATGTGATTATTGTTCCCACTATACAGATGAGGAAACTGAGGCATCTGTATAGTACTGCTATGAACTGAGTTATATCTCCCCAAAATTCATTTGTTGAAGCCCCACTCTCCAACGTGATGGGCTTTGGGGAGGTAATCAGGTCACGAGGGTGGAGCCCTTATGATGAAATTAGTGCCCTTATAAGAGGAAACTTAAGAGGTCAGCTATTTCTGTCCACACATGAGGACAGACCATGTCGGTAAAAACAGCGAGGAGGAGGTCATATGCAAGCCAGGAAGAGGGCATTCATCAGGAGCTGAATTTGCCAGCACCTTGATCTTGGACTTCCAGACCCAAGAACTATGAGAAATAAATTCTATTGTTTAGCCATCTAGTCTATGGTATTTTATTATAGCCCCCTAAGCTGACAGGGTGGTTGTGAGAATTGGATAAATTAATATAGGCAAGTAGGTGTGATCTTTAAGTTTATGGAGAAGCCATGTGTTTTTCATGACCTCTTGGGAAAGTGTTCTTTCTAAATTTTTTAAATGATACATATGGTAACAATAGCTTTATTCAAAACAAACCTACTTGCTATTTATTTGTAATAAAATGTTTTATGTGGTATTGAGGAATCTCTTCCTTGCAGAATTTCATCATTTCATCCATCACCACCTGGAATGCTGAAGGGAGCATATTTTAATGAAAGGAAAACTAGATCCAGAGTCAGATAATGTTGGCCCCAGACACAGCCCTGCTAGCTCATTACTAATGACGTAGCCTTGGACAAATGTCCAAGCCCCTCGAAGCCTGCACCTCCTCATCTCTTTATACGAGCATAGGAATAACTGCCTTGCGACATCACAGGGTTGTTCAAGTTCAAATAATATCAAGTTTCCACAGCAATCTCATGCCCAACACAAGCAGAAGGCACTGGTATGAGCCTGCTTCTCCCCTGCCACAATCTTTTCCCTCTGAGGCAGCCAATAATTCCTCTCCTGTGTTATTTCCTTCATCATTCTCCTGCCAGGAGAACTGAAATTCAAGTGGCCCCTGTCAAACGGAGTTAGTGTGGAAGGGGACAAGGTAAAAAGGTTGTTTGGGGGCTTCACCCCACCCACCTCACTCACCTCACGGTCACAATCTGGCCTCCATCCAGGACAACACCATTCATTTGGGCAATAAAGATGGCAGCCACTGCTTCATACAGGGCTGTACCGTCCATGTTAATGGTTGCTCCGACCGGGAGGACGAATCTGGTCACACGCTTGTCAATCCCCAGGTTTTCTTCCAGGCAACGGAAGGTGACAGGCAAAGTTCCGGCGCTGAGGGACAGAGAGAGAGAGAAGGAGAGGGAAAAGGAGGGAGAGGGAAGGGTTAGGTCCACTGTAGAGAAGCAGAACAAAGAAACTGAAATGGCACCACCACATTTTTGTTCCTCTGTTTCAGTCGAGCAAGGTGACATGCAAAAAAGAAGTGCCTGGAGCCAAATTGAAAACGAGTAATTTGGAGGCTCAAATTCACTCTTATTAACATGCTAATCGGCAGCAAAATATTTTCGTTGGTCCAGGGTTTTGAGATCTACTCAGAGCTGCAAGTTCTCTTTTTCCTTTGGTCACTATTTCCATCCTGGATTAATATTGAAGCCTTTAGTTAGAATGGAAGAGGGGGAAAGAGTTAGAAAAGAATCAGCTGTCAAGTGTGAAATGGAATGAGGAATTATTGAATGACCCATAATTTCATGTTAGAGGCACTGATTCCAACAAGATGACTACGTGGGTTGCGTCCAGCCCCTGGGAACTGCCCTGAGCTGAGCCTGCTAATTTTGCAAAGGCTGGACAAACACATTCAGCACCATTCAGCCCGAACCCAAGCTTCTAACTACTCACTGGGGACCCTCACAGGCATTCCAACTCCCTGATAAATGGCCAACTCTACAGTCTCTCCAACGACATAGGGCAGAGAAGCATGTACTTTGTAGCTAACCGAAGACCCACTATGGAGTGACTTCACCCCCACTCCTCCCAGGCGTCACGGGGATTCGTGACCACATGACCAAGCTCTAAGGTCAGAATGCCTGACAAGGTCATGCATCTTCTAAAACAAGAGACCTGTAGGATAAGATTTACTGAAGGCCAGGATATTATTTCCATGTGAGTAGAGGTGCCTGGGAGGGGAGGTAGACTGGCTTCAAAATTTAAGTAACATGAAAAGCAATGCAGAATACTCAGAGTTCCACCGGATTGCTTTGTGGTCTATTCTCTCGTGTGCTTTCTTAAAATATGTTTTTATTGATTTCAGAGAGGAAGAAAGAGGAATAGAGAGATAGGAACATCAATGATGAGAGAGAATCATTGATTGGCTGCCTCCTGCATGCCCCACCCTGGGATCTGCCCACACCCCCAGGCATGTGCCCTGACAGGGATTTGAACTGTGACCTCATGGTTCATAGGTTGATGCTCAGCCACTGAGCCATGTCGGCAGAGCCTCTTCTCTTGTTTTTTTGTTTTTGTTTTGTTTTTTGTTGTTTTTTGGTGTGTTTTTTTTCTCTCCTGCATTTACATCCTTAGTCATAGTTCCTCCTTTTACTTTTTAGAATTAGGGCTCCAGCCAAGCCGCACAGTCACCTGCTGAGGGCTCAGTTTCTCAGGGAGTGGGAGAGGACCATCACCTTCAGAGAACCTACCTGAAATGCAGGTTCCATGGCCCGCTCCGAACCAAGGAAGTGGAAGCTGTAAAACTCAGGTCACCTAAACCTGCATCTTATCAAACTACTGACACACAAGCTCCTAATACCAGCCTAGAGAAGCCAGTGTCATCTGACTGGAGCGTTCTTTGTGATTTCAGGTTAGAGGTCTGTCTCCTTGGTCTTAGGTAGGGAGAAGAAATAAACCCAGGGAGAGAAGATGGAGTCTGGCTCCATTCACAGGTGGGGGTGCCATGGTACCTGGCTTGCTGTCCCCACTGCTTTCATGAGAAGTTAGGGTCCCTTTCTTACCTGCACCTTCCCCACTCCACCCTTTCTGGGACCCCTTCGAAGGGTTGCCAGGACACCACGACTGGCCTGAAATGGCTGCCCAGCCATGGCTGGCAGCCAGGATTATCAATGGTATGACTCTAAGGACACGTTTGGGAGGACTGGAATATGTTAATTTGTATTATTTCATCTATGTTCCCAAAATGTCATCCAAGGGGTCCTTAGATAATTAAACAGATTAGGGGAAATACTGATAAAGCATGAAGACATTCTCACTTTCTATATTGGACAGGCTTTGTGCCTATATATATATATCCATATCTACCCAACCAAGTCACACTGATTCCTGAGCATTTTAACCCTTTCCTGTCCTTCCACATCCAGACATTGTTTTTTGGCCTCCTGCCTCAATGGCTGATGACAGTCTTCGAATGTTGCTAATAACTATCAGATACTGGAGAGTTTTCCCCCAGGTTCGTTTTAACAGCGTGCACTGGAGTTGGAGGGAGGCAGAGAGGTGTGTCCCAGGCCATTTCCCCTCCGTCCGCCTCCCTGACACCGGCCTCTGTGTCCACTGAGAAAAGCAGGTCAGCCCCCTCCACATCCCCACTCAGTCCAAGGTCCCAGGGGGTGGAAGGATATTTCGCTGGCTGTCCTGCGGCTCTGTTTTTCCCCCTCTGGCCATGATGGCAAAGATACTTCTTAGTAGGTGACTCCTGTCACGTTGACTTAAAAAGTTTTTTTCTTAAAAAAAAAATTCCACATCCACATTTTAACTGAAGATTAAAACCACACTGGTTTCTTTTTCTTTTTTCAAATGAAATACAGGGTAAGGAGGAGAAAAGGGCCTCACATTTGTGTGGCTTTGGTCAAATAACCCAAGCATTTGTCTGATTTCAATACAAACATGCCTTTAAGATTTAGCTTGTCTTGTAAAGGTACTGGGTTAAATGTCTAGTTATTCCAAGAAAGGATAATTGTAATATTTTTGAAGCAGTCTAAAGATCAAAACCATAAATGTATTGGAACAAAATATAAAGTAATGTTTTATAATCTTTTGTGCAGATGTACCTAAGCAAACTGAAATTCTAAATACGAAAGCAAAATACTGACCACTCCAACAACACACAAATTAAAAATTTCTATTGGCAGAAAGTATTGTAAAATTTTAGGATAACTGTAAAGTTGAGGGAGACCTTATTTGTCACATTTGACACGAGTTAATACTCTGACACATGAAGAGCGTTGAAAACCAATCAGGAAAGGATGAATACCCCAACAGGAAATTAAGATCACAAACAATTCACAGAGCGGGAGGGGGTGGGTGGGTAGGGCAGGATGGTCAATAAGGACACAGAAAGATGCTTCCTCTCACTCGTAATCAAAGAAATGCAAGTCCAATGAGATCACTTTTCACAATGAGACTGGAAAGCATTGAAGTAACTGATATTTGCCGGTGCGGGTGAGTAGGCGGTGAAAGGCATCCTCTCACACCCATGTAGTGGGACTTCAGCTAACACACTTCCCTGACGAGCAATCTGGTGATATGTTTTAAGCCACCAACGTGCTGACCATTGCACTCAGACATTCCACTTCTAGAAATTGATCCTGGGAGGGTCATCAGACAGCCTTGCGGAGATGCAGTTACAAGGATGCTTGCCACAGTCCAGCTTAATCGACATGTCTTAAATGTACATCAAGGGGTGCGATGGGGGTTGTAGTGTGGTACATACCGAGTACTGTTATGCAGTTTTTTAAATAGTGGAGAGATCTATATTATATGATAGGTGTAATTTTTATGCTGTGTTGACCAGTGAAAATAGCAGTCTACATATCTATGTATAGTAAGAGCTGGAAAGCTATGGAACTGTAAAGATTAACTAAAAGGTTACCTACCAATGATCACACAGCCAGTAAGTGGTGAATTTGGGAAACAAATCAAGGTCTTTCAGTCTCCAATGATCACTGGGTGGTGGATCACTGGTGATGGTTAGACAGACATGAGCGGAGCAAGGACGATGCTCCAGGGACAGAAACTCACCAGGGCAGAAAGCCCCGGATGCCTACCTACCAAGGGGCAAAACTGGGAAAACAAGAACCTCGCCTCCAGAGTAACCTATGCTCCCCTAGCATATCACTGGCCAGGCGGTTTAGAACCCTTGACCTTTTCCTCCCTAAAGATAACATCTAGGCCTCAGTTGTATTTCAGCTCCAGGCCCATCTAGACAGGTGACACTGTGGCTGCCTGAGGACCAGCTACATTGACTTATGACCCCCTGCCCTGACACTGACCGACCAGTGGAGACCTGGACCCTGAAAGAGCACACCTGGAAAGCTGATGAATATTCTATTAAGATCCTCCCTTGAGACCTCCCCTAAGATTCCCACCTGCAAGAAAAAGATAAATATGCTCAGGACAAAGGACCTAGTTTGCACTCTCCCTCCAAGGAGCATGCCCGTGCCATTCCCTCCTCCCTTCTCCTTCCCCGCAGGCACGTATCCCCCAACCTCTAAGGGACCCCATGAGACTTGCAACCAGGGGAGCAATGGGCAGTGGCAGCTTGTCCTGGGTTAACCCCTTGAGCCTGTCTCCAAGGCCCCCTTTTCTCTGACTTCTCAGTGAGTTAAGCAGCCCAGCCCAGGCTCTGCTGTTACTTCTCCTATGCCCTTTTTTGTTTTACTGTCCTAAGTAGATTTTTGCTGCGGTCATGAACCCTATACCCTTTGGATAGCCCCATTCCCCTATCCCCTTTTCCTTAAATAAATTTAATTTTTCTTTATTCACCATCTGAGATGGCTATTTAGCCTGCCTGCGCACTACCACTTAAACCTTTCAGTGATATTCATTGTCTTCTTCAAAAATTTACTCACTGTCTGAACTTTTCACAAGGAGCACATACCATGCTCATAAACCAGAAAGCAAAAATAAAACTCAACATAATTGTTTTTGTGTTTGGAGGAGAAAAAAAAAAGATTTACCTTTTCTCCAAAGAGAGAGGATCTTTATGGATAGAGATATATTGCCATAGGAAATGTATAGGCCCCAAAAAGAAAAAGAAAATTCTGAAATGTTTCCTTTCACCTTAGAAAACGATGCAGAACCTAGAGCCCAGAATTGTGTAGATTTCAGATTTTCCTGAAACCCCACATTCTGCTAGTCCTGAATCCTCATTGATTTGCAACATGGAAATATACTTTGGCTTCCCAGACAGTCACCACGATGTGCCTGTTAGGTCACTTAAGGAAAACCTGGCTGCCTGCTCAGTCGCCCTGTGTCACGGAGCCGCCACCTCACTGGCAGCGCGGGGTCACGGGATCTGCAACAAGGGCCTGCCGACATGGCTGCAGAGATAATGCTGGGCCTCCCTGCCATCTGCTTTATGACCTCAGTCTTAGCTTGTGACCCAAGGAAATACAAACAACTCTTGCAGACTGAAAGAATAAATTACCAGGCATGTCTTATGTATCTGTGCTTGTTTGTTTGTTTTGGTTAAATTCAGTCCAAGATGATATAAAAAAATTATTTTCTCTGAGTATCTTTGGGCCCTCATTGGCTTCTGAGGTGGTTGAACCAGGTAGTGAAGAAGAATGTTGAGTCAATGTCAAGCCCGATTTTCTCAAAATCAATGTGGCAGAAAGGTCCATTAAAGGTTCACACAGAGGTCAAAGACTGGACTGACTTCTGGTTTGTTTGAAAACTCTCACCCAGCATACCCTTTATCCTCTAAAAGCTCGTTCTCCTATTTTTGAAAAAAAATTACTCCAATAGACTGATATTTTGTGATAGCTTTTTTTTCAAATCACAGGTGGCAGAATTTCTTAAATAGAACAACACCCTGTTATACCCTTTTGAAGAACATTTAAAACTAATAACTAAATGCTACATGTGGCAAGTTAGGCATTATAGATTAACTAGAGGCCCGGTGCACGAATTCATGCATGGGTGGGGTCCCTCGGCCTGGCTGGTGATCGGGGCCGATGGGGGCTGGCCAGCCTGGGGGTAGGGACCATGGGAGGTTGGCCAGCCATGGAAGGTTGGCTGGTCATGGGAGGTTGGCTGTGGGAGTGCACTGACTACCAGGGGGGCAGCTCCTGCATTGGGCATCTGCCCCCTGGTGGTCAGTGATCATCATAGCAACCGGTCAACCGGTCTTAACGGTTGCTTAGGCTTTTATATATATAGATAGCATGCATTCATTTGGTAAATTTCATGTGAAGTCATGTTTCCAACACAGGTTGCCTAACAGCAAAAATGTTCATCAGAAAGCTCAGAAGTTACTAGAAGGAGTCCAAAAGACAAAGTGTTCACCTTTTTCAAAAAAAATCTTAATAAGATATGAAAAGTGTTCTCATTGAACTTTGGGTTGGGAAAGATTTTAAAAATGAGGAAGTGGCAAAGAGGGTCAAACCGTGAGCAGAGAGAAAGAAAGGTGATTTCTGGGTTCTCTACCTGGAAGCGGTGCCCAGGGCAGTGATCCAAGCTTGGAAAATGCCAGCAAAAAAGGTGAAAGGGTTTTTCCTGGTCACTAGAAAGTAAATCAAGGGGAGAAAGATGCCCCCATGGATGATAAGGCCCACAATCACCGTGACCATGTACATCCCCAGTTGCCGAGCAACCACTTCTAAGTCCTTGATGGCAATGATCTTCCCACAGATTAAGCAGGCAATACCCAGCGGGGAGTACCTGAAAAACATAAAAGGAAAAGAAAACACCGAAGAAATCATTATGGGATCCAGAACTTACATCTGGGCCTTCCTATGTTGCTGCACCCTGATGTAAACTTTGCATTTGTTCAGAGTTTTGCTGAGAAAGGGCCATGAGACTCAGTAGATGCTACATGTTACTTCAGACTAAATGCATCATCTAAAATCTGGCACATGGATTTGGTGGCTCCTGCTCTGACAAAAAATCCAAAAGCAAACTTTGTTGCTCAGGCAATTGTTTAGGAATAGTAGAGACAAGCTTTGCCATCGCTTAGGGAAGCACCAATCTTAAAATTGAGAGACCACAGGCTACATCTTTGTGAGTCTTGTTTGACTTGTCTTTCCACAGCTCCTGCCTTGAGACTTGGGAACAAATTTTGAGCTTCTCAGAAAGCTCATTAGAGTTTTCACAAATTACGAACTGGTGTTTGTAAATTTGCTTTGTTTTCACTTGGAAGATAGGAAATATATTTAAGAGGGAGAAAGAGAGAGAGGGAACACAGAACAAGAAAATCATCTGAGTCAAACACTACCTTGAGAGAAATGTGGCTTATCACTTCTAAGTCTGAAAGTATTCCTTTCCATACTTACTCTAACAATAACACTGGCTCTCTAACAGAGCCCTGCACACACATCGCATCATTTAATTCTTACCATAATCCTAAAATCTAGGTATCATTATCTCTATTTGGCAAATGAGGAAATTGAGGCTGGACAACATTAAATAGCCGACCCAAGACCATGAAAGTAGAAAGAGGAGAATCTCAGATTTGTAACCCTGCCTGACTAGGGTTCCCCCCGTACCAAGTCAAAGCACTTCCCTTTAATGAGCAACCGTAGTTCTTTGTAGATGAGCAGACAATTCACCCTGTACCAATGTATCCTATATAAGCTCGTTTTAACATCATCATCATCATCATCATCATCATCATCATCATCATTATTTTATAGAGCGCTTGGGAACAATTTATTGTTGTCCTCACTCTTCAGTAAGCTAATCATGTTCTCTCTCATTTCAAGTGTGTTTGTCACATGTTTGGCAACATCCCTTTTTTCTTGCCCAATTTGGGGCTGTTGGAGCTTGAACTTGCTCAGGCTACAACACCGTCTGACTGAAGGAAATGTTTGTGGAAACGATGCTGTCTTATTAAGAATTATGAGAGCTAGTCTCTGAGGAAAATGAAATCCTGGGATGGGGCTCCCAAGCGGAGTAAGGGAGCCAAAAGAGGGAGAGAGCACCTATGCCAGATTCGGGAGGTTGGTTTTGTTTTTTTTGTTTTTTTGTTTTTGTAATTGTGCCTGGAGCAAGCCCTTCCCAGGCTAAAGGAAAGCTGCAAGTAGAAGAGAAGCATATACACAATTACATAAAACACGGGGCTCATCCAGCCATGTACCAGCTGCATGGCCTTGCTTAGTGACTCATTCCCATGTTACAGATGTGCCAGTCAAGGCTTAGAGAGACTCCTCCAACCTCCAGCAGTTGCTGGGAGGATTACATTGTGAACACGCACATATATGCACTGTCAACCATTGTCCCCCAGCCCTGCCAGCACCATTACTTCTCTGACGCCTGACACAGGAATCTTTATATGTTCTGTTTCCCTAAATACACCTATGTCCTCTCATCACCCACTCAGCTTACTGAGTCCAGTCTGAGTTACTGAGGCTTTCTAAAACATCTCACAGGCTACTGTCACCCAAGTGTGGATGTTTTTACCAGCAAAATATTTTCTCAAGAGGAACCTTCTCCTGAAAGAGGCGATTTGTAACTGAATGAATTCGTTAGGACCTTAGCATAGCGACTGCCCTCCTCCCTGACGAGCTGCTGCCGATAACCCCACTTCTCCTTTCCCTGGGGTGGAGGCTGACCGTGTGTGAGGGCTGTTTCCGCATCAGAGGGTCATGTCCTTAAACCCCTGGCTTTCCCGCCATTTTACTGCCATGCCTGTGGTCACAACAGCTCATAGATCAGCGGGGGAAACTCGGGGGCCAGCTCCTTGTTCCCTGAGATTTTAAATAACTGAGCAAAATGTACCTTCCCATAAAGCCAGTAAGCATTTATCTTCATAAACCAAGAGATTAATTATTTCCAAAGCACCCATCACCTTTTAAAGATGTACCTTTTAAAAACCACGCACACACACACACACACACACACACACACACACACACAAATACAAGCTGTTTGGGGTGCCATCCAATTTTCCTGCTCCTTGGGGACAATTTGTAGACTGGAGAGAAAATGTTTTCAAGACTCTTTGCCAAGCAAGACCAGCTACGGAGTCCCCTGGAGAACACGCCTGAACCAGAGCCAAATGGATTAGAGAGGCAACAGGTTGCCTCAGAGCACTCAGCTCTCTGGGAGAAACAGGAGTTCCCACTATAAATGGGATGTGTTCAAAGGCCAGAAGGTACAGTGTTAGGAGAAATAAATATGGCAAGCAGGGCTCTAGTTGACCCAACACCTTGAACTCGGGAACTAGAATGAGCACTAATTAGGACAAGGAAAGAGTCTTTGTTTTATGACATATTTTAGGGCCATTACTTCCCTGCACCTGTTTTTAAAACACGTAGCTGAAGCCTCCACTCAGAATCGGACGCTTTTCAGTTCTTGGGTTTCCATATTAATGAATTATCTCATTGAAAATGACCCGCATGGAAAAGAAAGGGCAAATGCCTGGGGTCCAAGGTCACCACTGGAAGCTTCTGAGCCGAAGCAAACAGTCAAAGCCATAAATTAACGCGCATAGAGAAGCTGAGGGCTCCAGTGAGTGATCTGAAGCCAACTGATGCCTGGTAATTGTTGGACCAGTTTTTAAATGAGAAGGAAATGACTACAGAGCTCACAGCCCTTAGACTGGTTGTACCTTCAGCTCCGGGCACTGTTTTCAAAGTCATCAGTTCACCCAGGACTGGCCTGTCGAGTCGTTTCCTTACCGTTTCATCATCGATTCTTTCCTCTGCCCACTTTGTCCCTCAGTCCTTGTCATCTAAGGTTCCCACCAAGATGCCTCCCTTAGGGTCTGCTCTCTAGTCCACAAACACAAACTCATTCACAGCACTCCACATACCCAGAGCTCAGTCAGTGTCTCTGCCTTCGTAGGCACCTGCTTCAGAATCACCTGGAGTGCCTGGTACCAACATGGATTCCCCAAGCCCATCACATACCTACTGAGTTAGAATTTCCTGGAGCTGGCCTTGGGACAGTAACATTTTAAACAAGTTCCCAAGGTAATTCCGACGAGCTTGGAAACCAATGTTTCAAAGAATAAAATCTGATCTACAACTGAGGTAATGCAGATATTGCTTGGTTAGCCTTTGGAAACCATTTACTTTAGCTTCAGTTTATTCAAGGCCTGTTGGGTCTTAACCCACTAAATTCACTCAGGACTTTCGGGCACAGGACAGATACTAGGCCAGACACTTGGAGTGGAGGTCAGTGGAGTTAAATCTTTAGGAGTTTGGGATTCAGTGAATAAAAAACTTTCTCAGTCTTGCCATAAAGCCACTCTGGTTCTGTCCCACACATTTCCCACAGCAATGCCAGCCTGCCAGTTTGGAATGGATTTCAAGAGAACGTAGAATTGGAGGAGTAGGTCAATAAAGAGTTAAAGATACACTCCAATTACTTACGGGCACTGTCTGTACTCAGGCTCAGGAAAGAACACAAATCTCCAGTTTGCCCACTTAGGGAGAGGTGTTCCGGCTCCCCAAGGTGTGACTTTTGCTGAGTTTTACCAGATGTAGGTTAGAACATTTCATCAGAATGGAATAGACATTCGTTCATAGAGCCTCCAGGCTGCTAGCCCTCCGGGGACTGCCTTTGGCAAATGCATAAAAGCTCAACTCATGACGGTGGCCTGCAGGGCCCTGTGGGCTGCCCACCTCTCCAGCTTCACCACCTTCCACCACCACCCCCCTTACCAACCACATTCCAACTACTCCGGACCTTCCTTTTGAATCTCAAAAATATTTCACTTGCTGTTTGTTCCCCCTGGAAAATTCTCCTCTTGATTCTTATAGAGCTGCTTCTCTCTCAGTCTTCACCAAAAGTCACTTTCCCAGACAGCCCTCACTGACCCCACCTGTGAGAGTTCACTCCTTACTTCCATCCTCCCCATAACTCTCTATCCTATTTCCCAGACTATTGACTTTGTAGCGGTGATTACTATATGAATTTTTGTTTCCTTCCTTTCATTTTTCCCCCCTCTCTCCTTTCAATAGAATGTAAGCTCCATGAGGGTAGGAATCTTTCTCGGTCTTATTTACCATTATATCAGAAGTGCCCAAAATTCTTATTGGCATTGAAGAAATATTTGTGGAGTGAAAGAACAGATGGATGGATGGATGGATGGATGGATGGTGGTGGGTTAACTTGGAGGGATAATTGAAAAGGTGAGCAAAGATTTCACTTCTCACTTTATGTTTCTATCATGGGGAGATTATAAAAAGTTCCCGTTTCTGTTTAAGTTTTTAAGATTAAAAAGTATTTTAAAGAACTTTGCAAAAAATGAGGATATGAAAATCACACCAAAATCAAGGGTCTCTCACTCTCTCTCTTTTCTGAGAATCAGAGATTTTTTGCAGGCTTCTTAAAGAATTCATAACAGAGAGAAACAAAGGTTATGATTGAATTGATGATAGTAATGGGAACCATAATATAACAATAAAAATACTAGTGCATGTGAAGTGCTTAGACAGGTGCCAGCACGGAGAAGAAGCTCAACTATTGGGCACAATTTCACTTAATTCTCACAGAAATTCTCTGATGTGGATTTTATAATCAATCATTTTGCAGATCAGGAGGTGTGGGTTAGAGTGTGTTTAACTTGCCTAACGTCACACAGCTGGTAGTACTAGGAGGAGGAGGACCCTGGATTCCATCCAGCTTGAAGTCAGACAGAAGCTGAGTTAGGTACTACTTCCACGCAGCTCCTATCACTTAGGCTGTGCAACACTGAGCAAGCCAACCTCTTAGTTTTCTCATCTGGAAAATGGGGCTAACCAAAGTACCTATTTTTCTTAGGTATTATTGTAAAAAGGAAATTAGTTAATGCATGTAAAGTACTTGGAATAGTAGTAAGCCTAATTCAGGAATTCGGTAAGTCTTAGTATGGTTTTAATAATGATTATAGCTTGGCCGGCATGGCTCAGTGGTTGAATGTTGACCTATGAACCAGGAGGTCATGGTTCGATTCCCAGTCAGGGCACATGCCCGGATTGTGGGCTAGATCCCCAGTTGGGGGTGTGCAGGAAGCAGCTGATCCATGATTCTGTCATCATGGATGTTTCAATCTTTCTCTTCCTCTCTGAAATAAATAAAAAGGTATTTAAAAAATAATGGTTATAATAATTATTATCTTGTCAGTAATAAATAGGTGCAATACAGTAATTGAAATGGTACAATTGCATATGGCAAGAAGTTAATTACTCTAAGCTATAATTTAATAATTATTAGAATAATAATAATCTCTTCAATGTTAAATTTGCTATTATTACTATTCTTACTAACACATAGAGAAGAATACACTAAGAACTCTGTTTAAGCTTTGAGGGAGTCAGTTAAAGAATGGTTGGCTCTTTTATCCAGAACCTTTTCACACTCTTTGTTATCAAATGCTGACAAGGCAGCTTAAGAATGAAAGAAATGTGCAGCATTGGCATCTCATATCTTGTAACACCCTCCTGACTGCCTAGATGAGGTAACTAACGGCTGTCAGAAATCATCCCGTAGGTCTTATTCCTGACTCACAATTGCTCTACATCTCCTGGGATATGATGCTAAATCCTTAGGAGTTCTGATTTCAGTGAATAGGAAACTTCTTGATCCACACCTCCCTCTATCTCTGGGGAGAAGAAAGGCTGCATTTTATCCCATGACTCATCTGATTTCCTAGAAGATTCCCTTTCTTTCAAGGGCTCAGTGGAAATGACGTTGGTATAGAATAGATGAAGGAAGGAGCTTTCATACAACACCCACATCATTGGCATCATAATACAGAGATCTGAATGAACTGCATTTTAAGGGCAAGGATGCTCACTCTGCTGTAAGGTCTAGAAAACAAGAGTTCTATTCTGCTTTATGTAACACCATTTATTAAATTCTCTGTGAGCTCATAATGGATTGAAAAGACTTTAAAAAAAGTTTTACAGCATCATATTGTGTGACTTTAAATCTTCACATGAAAGAAATATTCAGAAACCTAATATTGCCCGAAGAAGTGGCAGAATCAGTACAATAGAAAACAACACAGTAAAATAATAATCTGAACAAGCCAGGTGTATTAAATGTGGTTCATGAAATCACAAAGACCATCTTACGATCTGAGACCCTGGGGGAGCGGTTCTCAACCTGTGGGTCGCGACCCCTTTGGCGGTCGAACGACCCTTTCACAGGGGTCGCCTAAGACCATCCTGCATATCAGATATTTACATGACAATTCATAACAGTAGCAACATTACAGTTATGAAGTAGCAACGAAATTAATTTTATGGTTGGGTCACAACATGAGGAACTGTATTTAAAGGGCCAGAAGGTTGAGAACCACTGCGGAGGCTTCAGCTAGCCCAGTTCTGAAGTTTACTAAGAACTTACTACAGGCACATCAGTGGAGATAAAAAATCAAGAATAGATTTTTGTCTTTGTAAGGTAGGAGCAGGGACCAAAGAAAAGAAGAAGAAAGAAGGTAAAATGTCATGGAACATCACAGAGAAGGGGCAGAGGACCAGAGGGAGGTTGGGGGCGAAGGTGAGTAGGACTGGGACATGAAGATATGGGGAGTTCGTCACCCAGAATTCCCGTGGCCAATAGAACACAGATGTGGTTTGGTCTAATAATGTTTTGTTTTGTTTTTCCTAGTCAGGCATACAGGACCATCATAAAGGTCTGAAACAAATGCATGTAAAAATCTGTCAGATACGGGACCACTAGAAGGTTCCAGCAACAGAAGATGGCATGGCTTCCTTGGTGAAGAAGTGGATACTCATGATCTCTTGGGCTACCCCAAACTTCAGAACATAGACCACAGACACACATGAAACAAAGTGGAGACGTTATTGCTTAGATGTTTCAAATGAAAGCACCCCCACCCACTTTCCCATCAAGGATTTTTATAGCAATATGATGAACTCCAGCTCTCCCTAGCTATATAATCTTAGGCAAGTCCATTCACCCCAGTGAGCCTCAGTTTATTTTTCTGTAAAATAGGAATAATAATTCACCTTTGCAGGGTTGTTGGGATTACATCTGACAGGTACTAAGCACCTATCCTGGCTCTTGGCTGATAAAAGAAAATCAATAAATGATAGCTTTTATTATTACCCTCATCATGATGTTAAAGAATCAAAATTTAGTGTGTTTAGGCCACAGACTTCTCTTCCGTAAAATCAGAAGTGGCCAGATTCCCAAGAGTACTTAAAGTTCTAATATATCTTCTGTGATTTCACTTTTGCTTGCTTGGTCTGAGAACTGCCTCTTTTTTCTTCTATTTGATTCATGAGTAACTGGGTCAAAGATGCACTGCTTTGGGACATGAGGATACTGGGGCAGTGGGTCATGCCATATCCCTGGTATCTTGGGCTTATTTTAATTTCCTGATACTGCTCAGCTTCAGTATTACTGATTGATTTTCCCAGCTTATCTCTCTTTCTCTCTCTCTCTCTTTTATTTTCCTCTTCCAGGACAGGGATCAGCAAACTCTTTATGGAAAGGGCTAAGTAGTAAATATTTCAGGTTTTGCAGGCTACCCAGTCTTGGTCAGAACTACTCAGCTCTGCCATTTAACACAATAGCAACCCTAGATAATATGCAAATAAGCAGGTGTGGCTGTATGGCACTGATTGTCAATTCATGTAATGTCCATGCATTATAGAATATTATTACTCTTGATTTTCCCCCCCAAACAAAATAAATACACAACACCCATTCTCAACTAGCAGGCCCTACAAAATAAATGGCAGATAGAATTTGGCCCACGGGCTAATTTTTTAAAAAAAGATTTGCATCTCTTTCTCAAAGTCCTTCCAGAGAGCCCTTTGCTTGGTCCACACCCAACCCACTCTTTCCTGCTGGGAGGGCTCTCATATTTTCTGGGGACCCCAAGACCCCCCCCCCCCCCAGAATGAAGAAGAACAATCCTACTCACCACATGATCATGATCACTAACTTCATTACAATCTCATTCAAGATGCTGAAGAATTCCACCATCAGCTTGGCCTGCTCGCCCATCTTCCCCATGGCGATGCCGAAAGCAATGAAAAACCCTATCAGACCTGTTGGATGAATCACATTGCACAGAAGGACACAACATTATTAAGTCTGTGTTGCTTCTTGCGTGTCCTTTACCATCCCCGATGTATGGAGCCACATGCTCATGCCTGCGACCCACCCTGTGAATGAGGCACGAAAAGACAAAAGCGTTAGATGTCAAAAGCATTTGTCATACCTTCCCCCAATAATGATGGCTTCCCTCAACACTGTACCTGAGCCAGTTGAACTATCTGCAGTGTTATCTCCTTAAAGAGAATGAATTCATTTTCATTCCAAATTAAAAAGTACTCTCTACTTTCTCCTCCTCACTTACGGCATAATGTGTAAGCAGATTTTATTAGTCCATAGATTAATTGAAAAAAAAAATGGTTTGTTGGGACTTGGGGATTAGCATGCAAACTTTGGAGCCAATATGAGAATAGCAGAGACCAATTAGCCAATAAAGCCTCTGCTAGGGTCATGTCTATATTGGTTTGGTGTTATCCCAAATTAATGCATGGCTGATATGTTTCACTCTAGGAAAATCCTAAACAAAACATTACTTTTCTACGGCTACTGCCTGACGTAAGAAGGAAGAGGAATGTTGAGAAATCAAAGGGAAAGCAAAGAGAAATCCAAAACAGTTGGGAAACCCCAACTGACCTAGTTTGTTGGGTTTAAGCTGTTAGTTATTAATTCATCATAATTTTTTTTTCATGGTCAAAATGATAAGAATGATTTTTAAAATTGTATTTTTTTTCCGGATCTTAAAGACAGAATTTAGACTTTGTTACTTCCTAGCCCCTCAGCCCTTCCCTTCACTTGATATCTATCAGTTGACTTACATCTAAGTCCAGCCCCACTTCAGCGTCTGGCGTCAATCTTAACACCCCCACCAGAGGATTTGAGGAGCTCCATCCCCATCTCTTAACGTTAGCATCAAATTGCAGTAAGGCCTGGACCAACTCCTACACTCAACCTTGGGTCTTATTTCTGTGTTAGTTTTTGCCTCATTCCCTGTGCCTGAGTTTTTAGTGCTAGGAACCTACCCTATACACTAGTTCCTTTAAGGCCTGTCTGGCCTGGAGTCTCACTCAGATCGCCCTGGGATGAGGTGCACTACATGGCTAACAAACGTCCCCATGACTGCCTGGGGACTGTCTGGATTTCTGATTGCCAATCACCATGTGCCCACCAATCCCCCTCCTGGCCCAGTATTGCTCCTCTTGGAGCTCCATTTCTGACAACTTGCAAGGACTATAAATCAATGTTGCTGTCCCCTTGGCTACAGGATCTTGCTGCCCATCTGACTTTCCTCTCTGATGTGCAGTATGGGCCAGCCTCTCTCCCCTCTCTCTTCTCCCTCTTCCCCACCCCTAACCTGTGCCAGTTTGGCAGGCCTAATTTCCAGTCCCTCCCTCTGAGAGCCAGTTTCCTATGGTGTCCAGTTATTGATAAAGTCTTGAGCTATATCAGGGAAATTGTAATATAATCCGATCATCTGATTCTTAGAGAGGAATTCTTTCTCTGAAACTCTGATTTCACCCTTTCCCTAGTCACCAAATCCACTTACCACCCCAACCAAGCACATATCAAGCCAGATTACTCAGCTACCCTTCACTGGACCCTCTCTGATTTCAGCAAAAAGAAGCCAGTACTTGCACTCGGGGTTGTTAATCCTCCACATTTAGTATTTCCCCTTTTCAGCTCTTGACCAAGAAGATTGACAAAGTGACTTACAAGGGAGTTACTGGCCATGAAGGCAACGGCTCAATGAGAATTAGATCCAGGAGAGGGTGGCCTAACTCAGCAGCAATGTATGAGATCAAATCCAGGCTATCCTCAAGCCCTTCTCTTGAGCCCATGGAGAGGAGTTTGTGAGGTGCATGTAATCTGAACACTCTGGCCGAGAGCAGCAGCTACTATTACTTGGTTAATCTCATTTGGAAAATTTAAGAGAAAATGAGCAAGATATCAAAGTCCCAAAGAACTGGAATTAAAAAGTTCCCCTTGCAGCGTCAGCAGAAACTGGCCGTATCCATGAGTACGAGAGAGAGCTGTTTAAAGGAGCGATCAGTGGGCCGTGGTGTGGCCGAGCAGCCTAAGGCACTGGATTAAAGGAGCATTCTCCCACAGGCCATTTAAGCAGTTGGGATTCGTGTGCAGCCCAGAAGTGCTCTGGAGGTTTTCTGGGAAAGAAATGAATCTTTTAAAAAGTGTGAGGCCAGAGCCAGGGTTTTATCTTTATTTATTGCAATGCTTGATCCTTGGGACTTTCCAAAGCCAAAAACAAAACACAAAGAAATTCACCATCTCCGCCTTTGGAAAACATGGAAAGAACCGTTATTTCAGCTGCGATTTGTAAATGGGAAGTTTCTCAGCAGCCTAACGGCCCTTGGCTTCCCAGAGCCTCGAAGGGCAGTCGAAGGCCCTGTCCAGCTCGTTATTTCCCTCTGGAAACACTGACTCACTGGACTCACGCTGGAACAGTGGTGTTTCACTTGAACAGAGCCCTCTCAGACTTGGTCACTGGGATTGAGAGGGTAGTGAGTTGTGTTGAAACTCCCCAGTAGTCAAAGGTTGCGTGACTTCCCAGAATCCACCGAGACTCTGGAAAAGACCTTGAAAGTTTCCTGAATGATTCACTCCAAAGCCCTGGAATTACTCATGGCTTCAACTTCCTCCAGGAAGACTGTGGAGCCATGTTGACCACTGGGTTGGGGAAAGCAAGGGTAGTTGGGAAGGTCCTGACATAGTCACAGCTATCTGGGCAGTGGGAGACAGGAGCTACTCAGGGGTGGATGCTGAGGACATTTGCAAACCCTCCTTCTCAGAGGACTCTTCCACTCTCTCCTCTCTCCTTCCTCCTTTTTCTCACACTGATGTCAACAGTGTTTGTTTATCTTCCATTGCCTGGCAACCAAGTCAGCTTATCACCACCCTCAGTCCCACTTACTCAACACTTACCCAACCTGCTTCCTGCCAGGCCAAAAAAAAAGAAAGAAAGAAAGGAAAAGAAAAAAAAATCCCTACTGAAATTTCTGTTTTTCAGTAGCTGCACAATCCCACCTCTTCTCCCCCCCACCTCTTCAGACCATTCTGGATAAACAGGAGTAGGGTTATCATTAAAATAAACAAACAGGTTACCTAGTTAAAATCTGAATTTCAGATAAACAATACATTAAAAAAAATTAATTGATTTTAGAGAGAAAGGAAGGGAGAGGGAGAGAGAGAAACATTGACCCACTGCCTCCTGCACGCCCCCTACTGGGGATGGAGTCAGCAACCTAGGCATGTGCCCTGACTGGGGATATACAACGACCTTCTGGTGCATGGGACAACATTCAACCAACTGAGCCACATTGGCCAAGGCAAAAAAAATTTTTTTTTTAAAATATCAGTATGTCCCATGTAATATTTGGGCCATTCACTAAAAAAATATATTTGTTGTTTATCTGAAATTCACATTTAACTGGGCATTCTGTATTTTATCTGACAAGCCTACTAAAGAGACGAGGGCATTCAATCTCCTAGATAGCCAAGTGGAAGGACCACTGAGCTCTCCCTAAACAACTCTCCCTCGAATCCTTAGAAGTCTTGCTTGCATGGATCAACATACTTCCTCCGCCCAGATTCCCCATTTTCCCCAGTTTGTGGCCAATGTCCCTCTTTCTTGTCTTGGAGACACCATTCTAATAGTGGATGGGACTGGAGTCACTCACATTATAGGGAACTCTCTCCTCTGTGGAGGGCGTTTCCTTATTGAATTGGTTCCTCAGCTCACCTTTAATAATGATAGTAGCGCACATGAATGAAGCCCGTGGCATGTACAATTGTGTTCTACACGCACAATCTCATTGAACCTTCATAATGATCTGCCCATCCCATCCCCACTTTACCAATGAAGCTCGAGAAGCGAGGCAACTGCCTATGGTCAGGCAACCAGTGAGTGGTCCATAAGGGACCCAAACCCAGTCTGTCCAACTACAGAGGCCAAGAACCTCTAGGATGGAATACGAAGAAGGCTCCGGGCTAGGGGAAAGGGCTAATTAGAATTCCAGAAAGTTAAACAAGATAGTCTCCTTTTGATAAACTTCTCTTGACACCAACACTTTGTATTCCTGAGAGCACTGCATTTGTTTATAGACTGTGAGAGCTAGGGTGGGACATCCCCCATGCCTAGCACAGTACTGATATACAAGGGCAACTCAAACAAAAATGCTTAACAAATGAAAGAATTGGATGTGTAACTGCATGAAATGGAGAGTCAGAGAAAGTGACTTGCCCACACCACGCAGAAAGTCAGGGATTGTATCCAGTGCGTGTTTATCCTGTGTCTTTCCCCATCCCTGACCTCTACTCATCATGCCCTCTCCTGGTACTGCGGCTGCCCATCTTCCTCTTCCTAATCCCTCTGCTCTCAGCCCCAGTGGTCCTCCAACCAACCACTGGCTCCACCTAGCGGACAGCAGAGTCATTGGCTTTCTGAGGAGGGAGTGAGGAATGCTGGGTTGCTGAGATGCAGGAGAGGCTGGCCATTGTCTCTGAGGCAGGGATGCCTTCCCCAGGGAGATGAATACCAGGTTGCCTACCTAAGACATTCATGCCGTCCTTGAACTCCAGACCCTTCTTGATAACCACCTTCATTTCCTCTGGTGCCTCTGTCGCAGTCTGGGTCAGCAGGGAGACGACAGAGGTGGTGACATTGCTCTCCTCTTCTGACTCAGGTGCCTCCAGGACTTTCTTCGTCACCGTTTGAATCTAACGGAGTGAAAGAGAAAAACAAAGAAAGATGAGGTTTGGTCTAAAAGGTTACTAGAAGCCTGGCTGCTTATGTGTTTTTAAGTTCCCCGTTAGGTTAAAAAACAATTAGGAAGTACCAAAACAAGGTTATGAAAATTAGGGAACATTTTATATTTGTGTTTAACAGAGTTTTGTTTTGTTTTTTTATACACATACTAGAGGCCCGATGCACGAAATTCATGCAGGGGGCTCGGTCCTTGCAGCCCCTTGCAGCCTTGGCCGGCCCTCACAGTCCTTGCTTCTTCTGGAAGGTCGCCCGGAAGGACATCCGGAAGGTCATTCGGCTGTTCGGTCTAATTAGCATATTAGCTCTTTATTATATAGGATGGTGGGATACGACTGTCCTCGTCACATGATAATTACAGGGCTTATAACACGCATTGGTACCATGCTACAGACAGAAGGCTTTAGTGATGGGACATGAGCTTCACGTGTGCGTCTGTGGGGGGGGCGGGGTCTGCTTCTTTTATTCTGGTGATTGTAGCTCTGTCCCTCAGCACAAGGTCAAATGTCCCACACGGACATTCTTCATAACTGTGAGGCCCTGTTTGATGACCCTCCCAGTCCCTCATGAGGGAACCTGGTCGAGAAGAGGAGGGCAGGGTCTTGGCGGGGGTAGACCAGCACCACGTGGTATGGGACAAAGTCTGCACAGACCAACTCGTGTGGGTCCGCCCAGGGCCAGGCTCTGCTGGGATCTCCATCTGGGTGCCAGATGTGCCAGCCGCCAGCAGCCACCACGGCAGGGGTGTTGGCTTGTATTTCAGATCCAGATGTAAGGTGGGGAGACATCTGCTCCTTCTAGCTAGTGATGCCAAGCCTTACTCGGTGTCCCCAAGCATCTCTGTGCAAATGTCCTCCCAAGAACCTCTCATGCTATTCCTCGATGTCTGTGGCAGCCCTCCTATTTTTAAAGGTGCCAGGCACCCTGCGTGCTGAGTGCTGTGAAAACCCACATCTGAGCCCAGAGAAACACTACCACCGGGAGCATTAAAATAGAACTCATGCGGGGTCCTAGAATGTCAGCACCGGCATGTAGTAGGCAACAGATGGCTGAACCCTGAATAGATATGGAAAAGGAAGCATGGAGAACTCAAGTGACTTGTCCGACGTCAGAGAGTTATTGGCAAAGCTGGGACTTGAACTCAGATGGCCGGACCACCACTGAGTTCTTTCCACCGCATGTGCTACATGATAAACTCTATGGCCCAACCCTGCTGCAGCTGGACCCAAGGCTAGGCAATGCTTGTCTGAGCATTGATCTGAAATAGGAGAGAACCAAGCACAGGGTTCTCCGAAGCGTGGCAGGGTGCTCTCTGCCAGCCTGGCCACATGCTCTTGCTCAGGGAGGGAGAGAGCCCAGGCTGAGTGTGTGATGTGGGGAACAGGTAGGTGTAGGCCCCTTGGTCTGGGCAGTGTTGGCATGAAGAGAGAATTCAGGATTGCCCAGATGGTGTGGCTCAGTGGTTGAGCATCGACCTATGAACCAGAAGGTCATGGTTCAATTCCTGGTCAGGGCACATGCCCAGGTTGTGGGTTTGACTCCCCAGGAGGAGGTACGCAGGAGAAGGCCGATCAATGATTCTCTATCATTGATGTTTCTATCTTTCCCTCTCCCTTCCTCTCTGAAATCAATAAATGCATTTTTTTTTTAAAAAAGACAGAACTCCATGAGCATCCATGACCAACAGAGCCATGCTCCCAGGAACAAAAGGGCCACAGGAGCCAACTGCAGACCTATTCTGAGATACTAAAGCAACAAGGCTTGAGTTCAAAGCAAGTGACTTCATCTTCTAAGCAGCTGGCTCAGCACATTACACAGAGAGAGTGCCAGTAAGCACCCCTTCCTTAGCCTGTTTCCATCCGCTCCACATCCGGCTTCCCCAGCCTGGAATGGCTACTGTTAGCATAGCTCCTTGTTATAAGTGGCACCAAAGTGGCATCGGGAGTTTGAGGACCTATCCCAACCCAGAGTAATGGAGGCTCAGCAGTGGTTGGCAATTGCATTTTGGGGGCAGCTGGGAATACGGGCTTTTCCTCTAAGTGACCTATTTCCTAAGGCCCATTCTTCTGAGATTCCCTGGAAATGGCTGGAGGAAGCTTCTTGCTTCTAGTTTAGTTTCCACTGGTGCTGATGGGAACTGAAGTGTATTCCAACCTGCACTGGCCGTGGGGCCAGACAGCAGGCTGGTGAGTGGGCATCAGGCAGCTATTTCAGCGGTTCCACTCAGCAGAATCATCTGTTTTTAAGAATCACAGTTTTAAAAATAGATGTGCCTATTGGCAGTTGGTAGAAGTATACATCGCTGCAAACTTTTGTAGGGCCGTTTTGCAACACCCAGCAAATTCAAAATATAAAACTCTTTGGCAGGACATTTTCATTTCTAGGAATTTATCCTTTAGAAATACTATGCGATCATGACAAAAGGGAGCAGGTGAGAGAGAGAGGGGGGAAGAGAAAGAGGGAGATAGAGAATGCTAAAACATTTTTAAATGAAAAAGCAAAAGCAATATGTATAATGCAGTAGCACTTGGGTGGAATTAAATTTTAAACATTAGCCCTGGCCAGTGTGGCTCAATAACAGAGCATCGGCCCAAGAACCGAAGGGTCTTAGATTTGATTTCTGGCCAAGGTCAAGGGCACGTACCTTGACTGCAGACTCATTTCCCACCCTGTCCGGGGTGGGTGAGGGAGGTAACCAATCGATGTGTCTCTCTCACATAGATGTTTCTTTCTCTGTCTCTCTGTCTCTCCCTCTCCCTCTCCCTCCTTCCCACGCTCTCTAAAAATCAATGGAAAAATATCATTTATGAGGATTAATTTAAAAGAAATTATACACACATGCATTTTACACATACACACACAAACTCAACATGAGTAGCTCTATGGAAGGGAAGTGAAGACTTGAATTTTTACTTTATTTATGTCTACACAATTTAAACTTTTCACAATTCTCATGTGTTACTTCCACAGTTTAAAAAACACCCCATTCCCAGGTTTTGATTCCGTTAAGCATATGCATTTTTTAAACACACCGCATGTGGGTTGGCTATACTGCCAAGATCAAGAACCAGTGGGAACTCTAGAGGGTTGTGGGCAAAGGTGATAAAAATGTGCCCTTGGATGATGCAGAGGCGGGAACAAAAAAGAAAGAAAGGCAAAAAAAGGAGAAGTGGTATTGTGAGGTAAAAAAAAAAAGGGGGGGCAGGGAGGTTAAAAATCCACGTGACTCCAACCCCCAAATCCTGCCCCAGATCACCTCACACACCCCTAAAACAGAGATAATTAAATGCTAAGAAAATCACTCTCCAGATTTGACTCATTAAAACAGATTCTCAGTTAACACCTGTGTAACTGGGCTTGTGGAGAGGCGAGAACATCAGAACTTGGGCGTTACCTGTTGAAAACAGGCTTGGACAAGATTTTCCGGGAAGAGATTTCGAATAAGGTCCAGAAAGGCATCCAGGCTGGACACTTCGTCATTCTTCTTCCCAGGCCCCAGCTGCTTCTTAAGTTTGGGGTTCCCTGGGTGGATAGCCAAGACCAAGATGACGCCCAGGACCGCAGCGATGATGGTGGTGGACATGTAATACACCATGGCTCTTGTACCCAGGCGCCCACTGGCTTTAGCATCCAGGCCTGACAACCCTGGATTGGAAAGAAACCCAAAAGGATTAATTCTGTGATGTTTCTGATAACTACCCATCTCTGCATACCTAGAACTTGGCTTCCTATTATTCAAATGCATCGATGCTAAGTTAAACCTCTTTCTACTAGCTAGCTGGTCAACCCCACAGTTTGCAATTCCATTTTGCAAGGATGTGTTTGACAGAACTGGGGAGAGCTGGAGACCTCTAGTCCAGAGTGTAAACACTGGCTGGTGACTACTTTTTATCCATCTGCAATGTGGAGTTCAAGTTGAATCAATTCAAGTTTTAATTCTGAGATGATGTCCTTCCCACTGATTTGGTGTCAAAATATCCTTTCTTGTATGAAGGCATGGTGCTGGTGCATGCTAGTTTTTTACTTGCTTTCTTTGTTGTTGTTGCTTTTAATGTCCTCACGTGGGAAAATAAGAAGCTGGTAGCCCTATGTCAAGCCTCAACATTTTTTGCTATGTTACTGGTCATTGAAATGGAGCCTGGAATACTGATGTAGCACAGCCCTCTTCCAGTCTTGACCTTGTGTAGGGATCGAAGGACACATGCATAAGCCACCCCAAAAAGAGGGGTGCTTCATCTCTACTGGGCTTGGCTCTGTGATTGTTGGAGGAAATCCCAGCCAGTCACAAAAATTCCACCCTTCATGGGTATTTTCCAATTGTTTCTTTAGTTTTTCTACTTCTCAGTTTCAGTTCCTGCTTTTACAACACATTTTTGGAGTGGGGAGGAAGTCATTGATATTAACTTTTTTGGATTAAGCCGACCCACCTATGACCGGAGAGAGTGCACCCATTTTTGGAGTGGGGAGGAAGTCATTGGTATTAACTTTTTTGGATTAAGCCGACCCACCTATGACCCACTTCTCCTTACAACCTACAGTCTAATTCTAGTTAATGGAAGCTAGATATCCTCACCAGGTTGGCCAGCGTACAATCTGTTAAACAGGCATGGAGAACATTTTGTCTGTTTTGGAAAGGAGCATTTAAGGTGAAAGCACAGCTTCACTCAATCTGGGCTGAATGAAATGATAAGATTTTCTGGAAACCCAATCCCAGCATTTCCAGTTACAGGGCTCACTGGTCGACCAGCTATGAGACCATAGAACAGCCTGGCTTAGCCTCGGAATCTCTTGGAATGACCAGAGCCCCACTTTCTTCACAAGATGGACAGTCCAGAGGGACGACTCTCTTAAGGCCACCCAGCCTGTTGGCACCTAAATATAGACCAAAGCCCAGTCTCACCCTTCACTCAGCACTTAGTCTCTAAACTATAACAATATATGTACTGTTCTAGAAATATCATTTGGTAAGAAGGAGAGTACCCGTATAAGTCTACGGAGAGAAAAAGATTCTTTCATAATTTTTTTCAGCCAAAACAAGTGACCATGATATACATAAGGGTAACTTTCTTCTGAAAAAGTCAAACAGCTTTTATATCTAGTATTTCATTTATTTTAATACTTACTTCCCTCTACACACAATTAAACAGTAAAGAAATATTTCCTTTCCTATTTATTACCTTTATCAGTTTCTGAACAAACTATAATCTAGAAAATGAGAAAAGCATACGGTTAAAAATTAAAGCACTACAGAGACCATCATTTTTAACATAAGGCTGTTTGCTTTTTATCATTTGTTGCTGGACAGATGGATGGACTGACCAATAGATGGCAAACTTATTTTAGGTCTGATTGTCCCCATTTTAGAGACAGGAAAACAAAGGTTCTAAAGTGAAATGACATAGATGATCACATTCATCCCTTTAAGTAAATTGATATTCAATGGTCAACCCAAAAGCCAGAGCAAGAGTAGGACCTACTTGGCCAGGCACCAGAGAAGGACTTACCTGTGATTAAACTGGAGATGATTAGAGGGAGAATGAGCATTTTTAGCATCCTCATGAGTATATCCCCTGGGAAGGCTATTAACATAACCACATCAGGGTGGATAGGAGATGCCAAGCGGAGAAGCCCTCCACATACTGCCCCCAGGATGACACCTATAAGGAAGGGGGGAAATCTAGATTTATTATTGTTTTTTTTACTCTAGTCAAATAAATAGCTTTAAGAACTTGTTTCAGTGACATTCACCTTTCTCATACTTCTCTATTATCAGATGATGAATAGCATGCAACAAAAATACCACTAGATAAGTGAAGCAGATGTTGACTAGTAGGAGAATATTTTGTATCTCCAGCTATTCTAAAAGGCAGCTCTGGGAGAGTCAAGGAGAGCGTTCTCAAGGCTTTATGGGAAGTATGTCATGGCAACTGGACTCCAACTTTTTTGAGGCCATCATCCACCTGTAGAGTCAGAGATTGTCAGTAGAAACAATCCAAATGCCAAATATTGCTTCTCCTTTTAGCCCAGACCTGGCCACATGGCATGGGGTTTAATGTATTTCTTTCCTTTTTTAACTGGATACCTGGTGAAAGGAGCATTTGGTTGACTAAGCTGATGTGTTTCCTTTTTTCTTCTAATTCCTTTAATTTCCAATAATTTCCCCATGGCTTACCCTCGAGACTTTTGTCCTTGACTTCTATAGCCTCTTATATAATCGTTGGACTTGCTGATCTTATGGGAGATCAAGGAGAGTCTCTAAAAAGGTATCATCTGGGAGGAAACAATTGGGGCAGAGATGCTGGCAGGAGCCTTTCGTTTTGCATATTCAGGGATTCCACAAGAAGAGCTTCAGATATCTTTAGACAGGCGGCCAACATAAATAGTCCTTGTGCCAACCACCATTGGGTCATAGCACCAGGCTGGGAGGGAGGGAGGGAGGGAGGGAGGGAGTTCCAGGATCTTTGGCCGATCGTGTTAACCCCTGGCATGCAAAGGGAGGGACATGGGGGGATTCCACAAGAAGAGCTTCAGATCTCTTTAGACAGGCAGCCAACATAAACAGCCCTTGTGCCAACCACCATCGGGTCATAGCACCAGGCTGGGAGGGAGGGAGTGAGTTCCAGGATCTTTGGCCAATCGTGTTAACCCCTGGCATGCAAAGGGAGGGACATGGCCCAAAGCCTGATCTTTGCTTCTTCTCCAGGTGAAAACTGTACTTCTTCAAGACCTATGATGAATGACTTGTGTTTTTGTGGAGGGTAACCCTTGGAAAACCCTACCAGGCCTGTGGTTTCTTTTTATTAAGTGAACTGAGCTATGGCAAACTCCCACTCAAGATGACTGACTCAAGCAGGAGCCATGGAATGAAGGGTGTGCGTCTGTGTGTGGGGGTGGAGAGGTGAGCTGTTCATTGCTTCTGTGTGCTGCCTAAGCGAGAGCTGAAGAACAAGGGAGGGAGCAGGAAAGGAAATGGTGTGGTTGTCATTACAAGAAACTGCAATTTACCACATTTTCAATAAACCCTGGTTGAAAACCTAAGGCCAAAATGATATTAACAGTCACACATGAAAAAACAGCTATGGCGTGGGTGAGGCCTGAAGCAGGGGAATAAAACTTTTGAGACAGACCAGATGCAGATTGAAGCATCAGACAAGCCTTTCCCATGCTGGCCTCATTAGCTAATGTGCTGAACTAACGTAAGTCAGTGAAATGTTTGGAGAAGGTTAGATTTTGGATGCCGTCTTAGTGGTCGCCTTTGTCTTGATGTGGGTATTTCTCTCAATGCAGTTCACTGACCACCTGCTTTGGAATCCTGGTTTGTTAAGATACAGAGTCCAGGACTTACTCCAGGTGGCCCAAAGCCAAGTCTCCCCAAGTAGGTGTCCCTGGGGACCTGCATGCCACCACACTCAGGGGCCGTGTCTGTGCATACTGAGATCTGAGGACCACTAGGCTCCCTAAGAGCGAACACGTGGTTAGGGCAGGTGAGGGGGACGGTGACACCACTGAGGCCTGGGCAAACGGGGCCTTTGCAGAGCAGTTGGAGGGCTGGCTGCAGGAACCAGCTTCCCCACGGAGCCAGGAGAGAGCCAGAGAAGAGGGGCCGGTAAGGAGGCACCTGCCACCTACCCAACACCGTCAGAGTGAGCAGCAGGTTCTTCCCCAGCTTGCTGCACAGCCGCAGCCCCAGGTTCCGGTGCTTGGGCGGCTCCTCCGAGCTGAGGTGGCTGTGGGGCATCCGCACTTCGACCTGCTTGGGCATGTTGTTGGCACTGCAACAGAAATGAAGGCTGTGGTTAGGGACCGCTGGGCACCTCCCCTATCCCGTCGGAGGGGCACAGCTAGGAGGAGGAGTAACGGCCTCCCCCAGGCACACCTGGGAATCTGGAAACATTGGCAAGAAAATAAAAACAAAGGAAGCAACTCAGGGTACCCTGAATTCCAGTTCACCGATAAGCAAGACACTAGGTCCCACCGAATAGCTACCTGCCAGGTGCTTTTGTCCCTATTACCTTGGATCATCACAGCAAAGAAAAGAAAGGCCAGAAATATATATATATTATTCTTAGAGAGAGAGAGAGAAAGAGAGAGAGAGAGAGAGAGAGAGAGAGAGAAACATCGATGTGAGAGTATAACATCAATTGGTTGCCTCCTGCATGCCCCCTAACAGGGATCGAGCCCGTAACCCAGACATGTGCCCTGATGTGGAATCCAACCAGCAACCCTTTGGTGCCTGGGACAACGCCCAACCAACTGAGCCACACCGGCCAGGGCAAGATGGGGGTTTTCTAAGAACTGCCCGCCCCGTAACTCTCAGAGGCAAGTGTCCCTGTCCCATTTGACAGAAAGTCACTTGCCGAGGGTCACAGGCTAAAAGAAATGGAGATCAAACCCAGATATGTCATTGGCAGGAACACAGAAGCGAAGGCCATGGTTAGAGACCGCTGGGCAGAAGGAAAGAGCTCTAAAACCTGAAGCTCCAAAGTGCACAGAGACACAGCCTAAGTCTCGCTAAATTAAAATGCCTCTGAGCTCAAACCTTCCCATCCCAGACACAGAGAAGTCATCCATGAGGGTAGTCCAAGTTTTGTTTCTCTTTCCGAAAAGATGGCTTATCCAGTTTTTAAAAAATTTAATCCTTTTTGGTTTTTAAAATATCATTCAAATGACCAGGGCTCTGCTAAGCTGTCCAAGAGTCAATGCCACTCAACGGCAAAGAAGTGTGGTAGAAAGAAGCATGTGATCACCTTCATCCCTGGATGCAGCCCAGCCCTTTTCCAGATAAACCCCAGTGAGCCCAGGCTGTGCCGGCGTCTGCAATGGAGCCCTTGCCAGGAGAACGCACATGCTGCCTTTTCCCCCAGCTCTGTCATTTCCCAGGCCAATGAGATTTAAGCTTGAGGATTGACATACGGAGGCCACATTTTTACTTTGACAACTCGGGACACTTTTGTTAGCTGCCATCTTGCAATCACCATCGTTTGATAAAAGAAAGAATAGTCTTTAACACCTAGAAAGACAGGCTGAAGGCTTTGGATACATGACAGAGCCTTGCAATCACTGGTTATAATGGAGATAGCATGGGTTTTACCATCACAGAACCTGGGTTTCAGATCTGGACTCCATTATCTGCTAGCTGTGCGGTGTGTAGAAACAAGGGCTTGCTGCCAACCTTGTGGAAACAAACATGATTGTGTATGGCAGAGGCCTGGCACGTGACACAGGTGGCTCCTTTCTCCAGAGAATATGAAGAAGAGACACATAATACTACTGAAGTTCATGACAACGGTGACATTTAACTCAGGGATCTACCCAGGTGCACCACCATTCCAATAAGACACCACACTTAGCTTCTAGTCTCAGAGTTAAGGCCAGGGACACAAATATAACTATATACTTACTTTTACATGACAGGCTGCTTAATATATTTGCTAACAAAATGCTTTAAAATTTGGAATAATGTCGCATGGTCTGGTAGAATACCCAGATGAAATTATTAGTCAAAATATAAGCTTCTTACTGTTCCCTCAATGCCCTAATTTTCTACTCATTTAGTTAGTTTTTGCGCAACCTCTGACTTTCTAACATATGTGTGTGCTAATGATCGCTCAGACCATTTAAAGAAGAAAATAGGACACGGCTGCTCACAGCAAGCAGATGAGGTCCTTTCTGAGCAGCGAGCAAAAATACCACTTCCTCTCAGCACCCAGTGAAACACACAGGAAAGTTCTTGTTACAACACAGCAGGGGGAAATGATCAAAATGGTCTTTTCAACGTGGCTAGACCATATTTTGATGTTTGCATTGGGATCTTTTAATACATTTAAACGTTTTTCCAGCCAGTAATCTGAAGCTCTAAACCAGAAAATTGATAACAAAGAATAGTGATCATATGTGTTCGGAAACGGTGACTATTCCATTAGCCAGCCCTTGGTTAAACCCTGTGAGCCCCTCGAGGGTGTCATCCCGCCTTCTGCTTCCATGGAATCCCTCCTGCCATTGCAGCTAGAATCAGACCAATAAGTACTTAAAGCAAACATTCTGGCGAGATCCATCTGATGCAATGAGAGTGTCAAGCATCAAAACAGCTACGTCGAATTGAAAACACGCACATGTTAGGTTAACATACACACCCAACCCAGCAATGTGGTTGGATGCCTGTTGCACACAGTTCTTAGCTGCACAAAACTGCTGCGTGTTTAATGGCATGTTTCTTAGGCCATGACAAAATGTCCCCGAAGCCCTGAATCAAAACAGCCACATCAAAGTGGCAACATCAAAATGCTAAAACCCGCAAGTATTTATTGAGAGAGTTAAACAAATGCTCCAGGCCGATCGGAGCTCCTAACTTCTGCAAATAGAAATATAATTTTTAAAGTACATCAAGGCTCCAGCTTGCATCTGGGGACACAGGGAGCCCCCTGAGAACTCTCTGGAAAGGTTCGATACCAGTCTACGTGATCACTGCATCCCCAGAGCCCCTGAACTGGGGAAGATGATAGAATATAATGCCACATAACATTATATAACACAATATAGAGATGCATCTAAGCCTTATATATCTTCAGAAGAACAGATATAGTTTTTAAAATGAGATTACACACATACAGAGCTATTTGATTGCTGGTTAGTGAACATGCATAGCAACAATGGCAATAAGGAGGATAACGGTATTTATTGCGTACTCTGCGTCAGACACTCTACTCGGTAATGAGTAAGGGGCAATCTTGCTCTTAAGGAGAGACAGAAAGTGCATTGCACCTTACTGGTCTGCTTCACATATGGGCCCCTTATAGGTCTGCCCAGGATGCTACAGAAAATAGTAAGAACGGTACCTAACCTAGCTGTAGAGAAGAGGAAGAGTGTTCTAGAATGGTCTCCAGGAGCAGCTGATGCTGAGTTGGATCTTAAAGCATGGCTTGGATTTAAATGTCTACATCCTCCACCAAGCTGTGAACTCTGGGAGGACAGGACTGTGATCTTTAACACCTGGTACCAAGTGCTTGATAAATGTTTGCTCAAAGCAAATAAGACCCGGGAAGCAGCTATGAAGGACACCTTGCTCTCCCTGGAGCGAGGCTCTTCTGCGGGAGACTGAGCTACCACCGCAGCGAGCCTCTTACCTTCTTGCCTTTGTTCCACAAATTTCCACTGGGCACATATTACAGGCCCCAAGCTGTTCTAGGAGCCCAGGATATTGCAAATCAACAAAACAGACAAAGCCCTTGCTCTCACGGGGTGTACGCTTTGGAAGAACAAATACATGGATAAATGCATGTCAAGTGGAGACTGCTGGCAGGAGAGGACCTGTGGGGGAAAGGCGGAGGTTCCAGCATCAGGGGCGAAGAAAGGCATCGAGGATAAGGAGGCAACTGAACAGAAACCTGGAGCAAGTGAGGGGTCTCCTAGTTAACTGTGCAATGTGTCCAGAGCTTAGCAAATACATGTGATACACACAGTTTGGAAATCTGTAGTACATTCAAACTAGAGCCCAGAGCTCCCACCAGATGTGACTCCTGGTGTCCATGTGCTGGTTTTGAGCACTGACTCAAATGAGTGACAAATTAGTCATGCTGGGCCCTATTACCACCATGAATATGATGGGCTTTCAACGACTCTCCCAGCTCCCAGAGGAAGAAAACCAGTCCCAGGGAGGGGAGAGCTGGACATATAGGCAGGGGGCTGAGGTCACAGTGGCCTGCAGTTTGCTTCCCTGGTGGTGAGCAGAAAGGGCAGGAGCTGGACGGTGTAAGTCCACTGGGTAAACACAATAATTATTTCAAGTGAGCACACTTACCCCTTATGAATACTCCCTTCCTGTGGCTGTGCAGACAGATCCCAACACTAAGAACCTGGCAAGCCCAGGAGTGGCTTGGTTAGACCAAATCCACCCAGCCTGATGTGTCCCAACACCGTGGAGCACCTCTGTTTCCATTTGAGTGTCCTCTGGATGGAAGATTTTGCAATGCAATTCCTAAGCAGTGGAAGTTTCTGTAACCCGACACTGTCAGATCTCTCTCCATTGCCCGGCAAAGCAAGGCCATGTGATGAGACAGTTGTTTGGATAATTAGAAACTTGAACAATGAGCCTATAATTTCCTTCAGCCATAACTTCTCCATTAAAAGATTTAAATAGCTGTTAATTTTGCAGTGGCTGCTCTGTTGTTCTTTCTTACGCAAATTCACGGGTCCTCCTTCAAGGACAAGCTGGCAGTATTTGTGTGTGTGTGTGACTCAAAAAGGAACATATCATGGGACTAAGCTGGTGCTAAGTTTTAAACTATTCTCAGAACCTGCTTTGTATTAGCATTCGATTTCCAGGCTCTGCCAAGAGCCTCTAATAATAGGCTCATTAGCTATGGTGGCAGACTCAGATCTCCAGCCTGCACACTTCAGCATCCTCTTATCTGGCACCAGATTCTTCTTTCCTCCTTCACGGTTCAGTGTGGTGCTAACAGAACATTTCCCAAGGAGCCTAAAAGCAACTGGTGTGTTTTTGCGTGAAGATGTGAGGTCTGTGACAAGCATCACCCATCGGTCCTCGGCTACCCAAGTCCAAGACAACAGGAGACAATGTCCAGAAATTGCCCTAGTGAGGAATACTAGGTCAGACCCTCGAGAACAAAAATCATGTTCGTTGAAGGGGCTTTCCCCTAAGATATCTGGAGTGTTTGAAAAACAATGCTGGAAATACCAGTGGTGTCAGCTCTGAACACTGGACACCATGAAGGGGTGATTACAGCTGTGACAGATCACATCTGGGATTTTCCCA